AGAGAGTGTGCCTGTCTGCTCATAGGTTTCTATTAACCTATAACCTATATCTGAAATTGGAGTTCAAGTTAACCCAAGTTTGCTTCTCTGAGGAGAAGGGAGTTGTGTTTCCAGTACTGGGCTCTTGGCTTTTCTCACTGGAAACTCTCCTCATGCCCCACACATCACACAGCAGAGGAGAATTGCTCCTATATCCTCTGTTCTGGGAGCTTCATCCAGGGAACGGCTGTGCAATATGCCAGGTAAACAGCTGCCTTATACTGAGAAATAGCCCACACCCATCAGTAAACATGCATTTCTTTGTTTGTCAAGATGAAGGAAATTTCATCTCATTGTAGTTCATGCTTCCCTGACACCTCTTAGCCCAGGACCCCAGATCCTTTGTTGTTATTGTTATTTGCCGTCCAGTTGGACTCGACTCATAGTGACCCCTCCTTGGGTTTCTGAGGCAGTATCACTACGGAAGTAGATTGCCCCATCTTCCTTCTGAGGAGTGGCTGGGGGGGTTGAACTGCCAGCCTTCTGGTTAGCAGTCAAGTGCCTTAAGTACTACACTACCAGAACTCCTATTAGTCACTCATTAACCCATTTCCCCATGCCCTCATAACTGTTCTGCAAATAGGCTACACAGGGGAATTTGAAGACCTAGCAGGATTCTAAAATATGTCCAGTTAGGAGCCCAAGTTTCCCTGTGGGCCCTCCTTGGATGTCTGCCAGGTTATTTTCTCAATGTCTAAGGGCTAGACTCAGCGTCCTAGTCCCAGAGGTGAGAAGGATGGGCAGAGACCCCCCAGGTCCTTTCCTGGGCCAGGAGGAGGCAGCTGTGGGCCATACTTGCCAGGAAGGCTGGGTCTAGACTGTCTTTGAAGACCCACCTACAAGGACTCTGGCAGCCCCTTTAGGGAAGATCTGAGACTTTGGGATTTGACTTTGGTTTACCACTCACTGCCATCCACTCTGGGAGCAGGGCTCCAAGGTAGTGGGGAAGTGTTAGTTCCAAAGGGTCAGAATCAAAGGCATGACTATGAAGTCAACCCAGGGGTTGACATTGTATAGCTTGGAGTAGGGATAGCCCCAAGGCCATGAGACAGCTGTACTCAAGTTTCTAAAGGGCTTCTATGGGATGAAAATGTAAATTTGACTCAGAATGAAGCAATGGGGTTCAAATTTGCAGCTCAAAACAAGGATGAACTTCAGTTTTGTCTAGTTGCAGACCCATAAGGTGGTGATTGGGGTGGAAAGTTGGTTATGGCATCCTCTATGATCCCACTTAGGCAGAAGTCATCTTCTGGTCAGGGAGCTAAACTCCTTAGTTCTCACTTGCCTCGCTTGAGTTCTTAGTTCTTCCCAACTAGATTTCAAGTTGCCTGAGGGCCATGACTCTTTCCCTCTATCCCATACAGACCCCTGGGCAAAGCCTGCTTCTCTCACTTATGGACTGAAGGCCTGACAGAGCAGATGATCTTATTTAGAGGTTGCACAAGTATTCTAAGGTCACACAGGAAGGTCTTGACCCAGAAGCAAGCCTTACTCTTGCCACCTACACTCTTCTTCATCCTAGAGTAGAAAAGACTCTTCTCTTGAACAACTATCATTTGGGCCTATCCAGGGAGCCCCATGTTCACACCTGTGCTAGCCTCTTCCAGACCTATGATGGCATTTGCTTTCATGGAACCCCTGTGTGTTTCAAGGAGAACATAACAGAAGCTTCTTCTTGTTGTTTGTGCCACTGAGTTGGACCCAACTCATAGTGACCCCTCCTTGGGTATCCGAGGCAGTATCACTACAGAAGTAGATTGCCCCATCTTCCTTCTGAGGAGTGGCTGGTGGGTTTGAACAGCCAGCCTTCTGATTAACAGTCAAGTACCTGAGGCACTACGCTACCAGAGAGGTTTAATGTCTTGTCCAATGTCAAGAAGTGGTGGAGGTAAGATTCAGACCCAGGTTTTACTAACTCCAAAGCCAGTGCTTTGTCCCATACTGCCCCCCCACCCCATCCTCAGGAGGGCTTTATAAAGCCAAGAGCCATCTGTGGCATCTTGTTTCATTAAAAACTTACACCATAAAGATGGCACAATGAAGTTTATCAACTCTTAACGAAATCTTTTTAATTAATCACAAGATACATAAAAATTCCTTAAATCATTTCAAGAGTTCTATAATTGACTTCAGATTCAAAGAATTTTAAAAATATATACACATACATATATTTTTAAAAAATGGAACTCACTTTTGGTCCAGTGTCTTAGTAACACTGGGAGTGACGTCTTTCTCGGATGGTAATGGAAATGATGAATCTGCCTTGGAGCTCATAGCCGATGAAATGAAGAGTGAGATGGTGAAGTACCTTTATCTTCTGCACACCATTCTACCCAATGGCAACATCACAAAAGGCTACAGATAAAATTCTAGAACACTTTCTGAAAAGGAGAATGGCACAGGCAGCCTGTCACTTTTCCTGACACCTAACATACACATATTGCTCCCCTATCCAACTTCCCTGTCAAACATATAAAACGAAGTAGCAAAACTAGTAATTTTCCTCATGTCAACTCCCCACCTTCATAGCTCTGGAAAACTCAACACATGTCGTTTTTAAGACAGTGAACGTCCCTGTCTCCAGCCCAAGCTCTGTGCTGATTTGTAATTTCAGGTTGCTCTCCAGAACTGGAAAAGATTGCATCATCCCATATGGTGCAGTTATACCAAATTTTCACTTGAACCTTTGCAAACTAAAGCAATAAATTTGACCCTTTTGCCATCATTTTTTTTTTATTATTATTTTATTTTCATTTTTTTGAGGTGGGGCAGGCTGGATAAAATGAACCAAATAGATGAGTTATTTTCTAATAAGGGGAGACAAGTGGTTCCCAGCATAGCCAGTTGCTTTCTGCTTAAGGAAAAGCTTCCAAATCAAGATTTCAGTGCAGCGGACTGGGGGGGCCTGGGAGAGGCCTTTCTGGGACAGATGGTATGATGGTAGAGCTGGGAGGGAAAGAAGTAGCAGCCCTTGCTTTGATAATTGGCCAGCCAGACCACATGCATTTTACATTCTATACCCTGGCACTACACCAGGTCTTTCATGTGAGGTGAGGTATCAGTGGACACCTATACAGGACTGAGGCCATGGACACAGCATGAGGGAATGATGGACATGTGAAATGCTTTGGTTTGGTGGAATATCTTGAGCAAAGACCAGATCTCGGGAGAAGTAGAGTCTCATGGGGACAAAAGGGCAAAGAAACAGGACTGGAAAGGTAACAGAGCAAGCGATTCCACAGAGGCTGAGGAACGGGATCTTCAAAACCAGCAATGAGTCCTGGCTGAACAGAACTGTTGGCTTCCAGTCATGAAGTTCACTGCCCATATCCTTCCAACATGGCATTTTATTGAACTTTCAAAGTCTTGCCTACTAGCATGGTCAAAAACAGTGTTTCACTGGTTTCATTGTATTTCTTAATTCTGTTGATAGAAGTATAAATTGGTACAGCTTTATAGGGAGCAATTTGACAATATGGATAAAAATTTAAAATATTCTATTCAACCTAGTTGTTACCTCATGATTACACTCACCAAGTGTGAGAGAGTTCTGTCCAGTGGCAGTCATGCAGCAGTGTTCAGGAGAACAAAGTGCAGTATAGGATGATAACCCAATAGATAAGGAGGCCTCCGTGAAGTGGTTGCTGTGCTGTCAGTGTCAGGAACAGGACTAACATTAGATCTGGGTGCTAATGTTATAGGGAGCTGCCAAGTACATAATGCAGGGTGGAGAAGTGTGTGTATCATGTGAGCCCAGACCCAAACCAAATCCACTGCCATTGAATCGATTCCGACTCATAGCAACCCCCACTGAGTTTCTGAGAAAGTAAATCTTTCCAGAAGTAGATTGCCCAGTCTTGCTACTATGGAGTGGCTGGTGGGTTTGAACTGCCAACCTTCTGGATAGCAGTCAGATACCTTATCCACTGTGCTACCAGCGATCCTTAATGTAAGCCCATGCATATCAAATTTTAAAAAATTGATAAGCATATAAGCAGGTTTTTGGGTAAAACATTTCTGGAATAATACACAAGTGACTGTTAACTGTAGACACTTCTGGAGTAAGACCAGGAGTTTGAAGACTTCGATTTTATATTTTATGGCCTTCTGGATATATTATTTGCATTTTTTTTTTTTTTTTAACCACATCTGCCACTAGTTGCTATTAAGGTCAACTCCAACTCCTCCCCCCTCCCCCCATGTGGCAGAGTAGAACTGTGCTCTGTAGGGTTTCCAATGGCTAGTTGTTTTTTTTTTTTTTTTTTCTCTGAGAGATCGACAGGTTTTTCTTTTGAGATGTTTTTGTGTGGACTCTAACCTCCAACATTTTGGTAAGCAGTTGAGCATGTTAATTATTTGTACCCCCAGAGACTTTCACTACACACATGTATTGTATTCACATTTAAAAAGAGCAGCAAAGAAAAACAAGTTGTGGACTAGAGAGTTCCAGAGCAGGCATGGTTGAGAGTGAGGACCCTGGCCCTGCCTCTGTATTACCCTGGGACTTCTCCTCAGCCGTATAGTCTGGTGTCCCATGAGTGTGATGGTGGCTGCTAGAATATAACTTGCAATCAGGAAAGGTGGGGCAAGAAGAACATGGGCAGCAGTCATGCTGCATGGGCCTGGAGCTGTTGCTGTTATGTGCCGTCAAGTCGGACCTGACTCATAGCGACCCCTCCTTGGGTTTCCGAGGCAGTATCACTATGGAAGTAGATTGCCCCATCTTCCTTCCGAGGAGTGGCTGGTGGCTTTGAACCACCAGCCTTCTGGTTAGCAGTCAAGTGCCTTAGCCACTATGCTACCAGAGCTCCTGGGCCTGGAGCACCTCTGTGTTTATGGAAGGAGAGTGGAACACCTGTGGCTTTCCTGAATGCCCTACCCCATAAGGCCACAAAGTGTCCGACTTCTTCTCTTACTCATGCCTTGAGATGTTCCTCACCTCCATTCTTTTCTGTTCATAGGAAACACCCCGGCTCGGACAGAACCATGCTGCAGAGGTGGCAGGTATAGTTATTTCTTCAGAGGACTCTGGGTCTGAGGAAACCCCAGGAATGACATCAGAAAATAGATCAGGCCCTTATGAGGGAAGAAGTGGATTAATCAACAGAAGATCTTTGTTTTTTAACTGGCCCATAAAGTCCCAAATTTTTCCCTCATAAGATCCCAGTGATTGAAGGAGATACCTGGGCATTAGAGTCAGAGCTGTAGAGTGAGTGGTGTATGTGTGCATGCATACATATGTGTATATGTGTGTATTGCATGTGTGTAAATGTGTATGTGCATGTGTGTGTATGTGTATACATATGTGTGAATTGCATGGGATCTCTGGTGGTGTAGTGCCTGAGGCATTTGACTGCTAACCAGAAGACTGGCGGTTCAAACCTACCAACCAGTCCTGGGAAGGAAGGTTGGGCAATCTACTTCCGTAGTGATACCATCTTGGAAACCCAAGGAGAGGTCGCTATGAGGCAGATCCTACTCAACAGCAGTGAGTTTGGTTTTTGGTTTTGGTGTGTACATGCACTGAGTGCCTCTGTGTGTGCCTATGTCCTCCATTTGTGAAACTGTGTGGATATCTGTAAGATGCACAAAACATAGAAAGGGCATGAGGGTACACATCTTGTTCTGGGGAAGACACATGTGACTCTGGCCTGGATGAGCTCGATAGTCAGCTGAAGTTTCTCAGCGAAAGGAAGGGATTCCAAGGGGGCAGTCCTAAAGATCATACGGCAATAAGAAAGTGACTCTTGGTCACCCATTTCTGCAATCCTTTCTCAATCAGCAGACCAAGGAAATGAGAGAGTACAGCATGTAGGTTCCATATCAGACATGACAGCTGTATGGAACTGCTCCTTCACCAATGAATTTTGGTGAATTTTTCTATTTGAAATTGGTTAGGCAGAGGGCCTCTAGGCATGGTCATTATCCCATTATCCTCAGTCCGTCAGTTGTTCAGGACATCTTTCTCTGTTACAAAGTCATCCCTCAATTTCTTTTTCTAATCATAAATGGGTCAGCAGTAAGTTTACCCACATTTGTGCATTTAATCAACTTTTTACTATTTACATCCAATAGTTAACCCAAAAGATGTTTTATCCTTGACTTTAGACTGCTAAGCTGTACTTTTTAATTTTTCCCCAGGTAAACTTAGCTTCCTAACTATATTTACTGCAGCTCCCATTGAAATTGTGTGTGTTCCTGAGTTAGCACTGGCTGGTGTCTAAGATGCACAAGAAAAACCAAATTGACAAATTGCCTGTTCTCACCTACAGAAAGAGGCTTTCTTGCTCAGGGCTAAGAGACTCCTGTGGAATTCAAACACATTTAGTTTATTCCCCCCTCCTTTTTTTTTTTTTTTTTTATCTCTTCTGGTAGAAAAGGGAAATCAGCAATTTTGAGTATCTCATGTACCTCAACACACTGGCTGGAAGGACCTATAACGATTACATGCAGTATCCAGTGTATCCCTGGGTTCTTGCTGACTACACCTCAGAGGTAAGGGATTCCCTTGGGATGATGTGCAGGTATACTGAGGGTTTCTTGCCATGCTAACCTGTACAGCCTAAACAAGAATGCAGAGACTACCATGAGGTTCCCTACAGACCTTGGCCCAAAGGCTGTTGCGGGTGCTCAGGTCCTTTGCCCCATGGAGGTCTTTGGCATTTGACTGTCTGGGTGCACGTCCCAGCCCCATTTGTGGGAAGGTGGGCAGGGCTGTGATGATCCACATGACCAGTACAGCTGCTAATTAATATTATCTGCAGAGGGATTCTTGGTTTACTCTGTCTCATGAAAACAACTGATCCTCATATATTGAGATTCTACCATGGACCAACATTGGTGGTGAGAAGTAGTCATAGTGAGGTGGCCCATGGGACTTATTCTGGAATCAACATGAGAGAGAGAGAGAGAGAGAGAACTTCTTTCCCTGTAGATGGTTACTGTACCTGAGATGACGGCATCGGGACTTTACCCAGGATCTGAACTAAGATATACTGTACTAGGGGAGGATTATGACAAGACTAGATTATTCGTTTTTCTTGGTCTCTATTCCTGGACCTCAGGAGGTGAGGGAGGAAGAAGGAGGAAGATGACACTGGGATGATCTGGACATGGAGCAATGCCCTGACTCCCTGTCTCTGGCCATCAGGAAACATGCTGGGCTCTGTGTGTAAAGGGTAAAGATGACTAAGTTCCTGGTTCAGATTAGTCTAGCCAGTCCTGCCTGTGACTGCTTGGAAAGCTGAGCTCCAGGAGTTGGGAGAGGGGCCAAGGCTTCTGTGACCTCCAAGCCCCACTTCAGACATCTAACATAACATTTCTCATCAGCCTTGTGTTGCTTCTTGTCCTAATGATCTACCTGAGGTAGAACCATTTCCAAAATGAAACTTACAAATCCTGGCTTTAACTCACACATTACCCAAGGGTGATTTGCAAGTGCATTTTTGCTAGCCCCTATCCTATGTTTAGGAGCTCTGGTAGCATAGTGGCTAAAGCACTTGACTGCTAACCAGAAGGCTGGCGGTTCAAACCCACCAGTCACTCCTCGGAAGGAAGGTTGGGCAATCCTACTTCCGTAGTGATACTGCCTCAGAAACCCAAGGAGGGGTTGCTATGAGTCGGGGCCGACTCGATGGCACATAACAACAACAACAACAAATCCTATGTTTAAATTTTTGATCCCTTACCAGAATTTAAAAATTGGGAGATTGCTCATAAAGATTTTGATTTCAAGTATCTTTTGGGAAATAAGGAGATGTGGCAACTATGAAGCTCCATTCTCATCTGGCAAAATCTGCTGGAACTGACTTGCAACTCCCCATTTAGAAGAGTACAGCATTCTGTGTGCCTGTCTGTCATTTGCTTGGGTCTTACAGGGGGCTTTCTTCACTCTTGCACCTGCCTGGCCTCTTCAGGCTTCTGAAATCATGGCCTACTTCCATTCCCACATTGGAGCTGAGGTGGGTCTCTGTTAGTGAAAAAAAAACAGTTGTTATTGAGTTGACTGAGATTCATGGTGACCGAGATTCATGTCAGAGTGGAACAGTGCTCTATAGCTTTTCAATGGCTGATTTTACAGAGGGCTATAAAGAAATGCTTCTGTCTATAAAGAAATACAAAGACTAGGGAACCACACAGCTCTTCAGCTAACACACAGAGAATCTCTGCTCAAAGAAAGTGTCTGAGTACACCTGGCTCCTGAAAAGTCTTCATTTCTTCACTGTTCTGCATCTCCAAGGACAGAGGAAGGGAAGAGTATTCTATGCTTTCATTTCCCAGAAGGGAAAAAGCCTCTAGAAAATGAGGACAATCCTCTCATTTCCTCCCCAAAGAGTCCCTTCCCTTCTAAATCCCTACTAAAATTAGTGTTATTTTAAGTAAGTACCTAGAACAAGGAAAGTAAATGACTCTGTGAGGGCAGGAGACAAATACCTTACAGACAATAGGGATTCTTTTTAAAGTATCTTTCTGGTAACTGGAGAAGATCTTCTGAGTTGGGTCAACTTGGAACAGGTTCATTGTGAACTCAATCTTTCCCTCCTTTTATTTTCCATCTCTCCCTTATTAAGTCTTTGTGGATCACTGACTCCGCAACCATAAAACCCCTGCACGCCTGCTAATCACCAGAGGGGGGTCAGACCAAATGACAATAAACCAATAAAGAGAACCATAAAACTAAACAGCGTGGCTCTCAGAGTCTCTCTGGGACTCACAAGAGCCTGGGGGTGGGGGTGGGGGGAGTTAACGCAACTGTACATCTGCCTTCTAGACGTTGAACTTGACAAACCCCAAGACTTTCCGGGATCTTTCAAAGCCCATGGGTGCTCAGACCAAGGAAAGAAAGCTGAAATTCACACAGAGGTTTAAAGAAGTTGAGAAGACAGAAGGTGGGTAGATTAAAGCTTTATATTTCTGAAATACTATTTATATGAATGCCTGGAAATTATAGTTGGTAACAATTTAAGTAGTCCCCTAGTAGTGGCTTCACTAGAAGAGTGCAGGGCGTATGACTGTACTAGATGACACTGTCAGAGGAAGTGACACCAAAATGACTGCCTATAACATTTTTGTGCAGGGTTTCAGCAGAAATTTATTATTTTTATAAAAATTCCCTGTAGTTAGTCATAACAATAAAAACATTTTGCATAAGCCCCAACTTACATGTATCAATATACCCACAAGGCTAAAACTTTATGTTCATTTACTTTAAAAAAAAAAAAAATACTCACCCCCTGTCATCGAGTCAATTCTGACTCATAGTGACCCCAAAAGCTGTAAAGCTTTGCAGAAATGGATTGGCCCATCTTTCTGCTGCAGAGCAGTTGGTGGGTTTGAACCACCGACCTTCTGGTTAGCAGCTAAATACCTACCCACTGCACCACCAGAGTTCCTTTCTTCATATGCAGTATGCTTTATTTATTCTGTATCAAAACAGATAAAACCAAATAGAAAGTATACTAGTGTTGTATTTTATAATTTTGGTTATTATGCCAAAATATGTTAATTTACCATTCAATGAAAATAAACTTCCCAATTAGTTACCTTTAAAAATTATCAGGAACATAAGTAAGATAACTTTTTTTTTTTTTTCATCAGAAAAAGACTATCCAGAGTAAACAAAGATATTGCAAATATATCCAAAATTCTAGGCCTTTATTTTCTTTATATAAATATATAAATATATAAATAATCTTTATTTTCTTAGAGCATTCAGTTTCTTCTTTTTTCGGTAAAGAGTGTTGGTTTGGCTATAAATATATTGTCTTCACATTCTTGAGGCATATCTAAAGTCTTTTGCTTCGTGGTTTTCCATCACAGCTTTTGAATCCCTTTTAGTAAAAAGTTGCCCACATGATGCTTACTACACTTATTGATGACAATCTGTTTCATTGCTGCCAATGTCTCATGATGATTTAGAAGCTGTTCCAAATCTAATGCCATTTGATTCTTCATCTGTAGTAAAGCTGACTTGTTTTAAATTGCTGACATCTTTTTCAAGTTGTGCAATACATTTCTTTAGTGAATCAATCTTTGAATCTCTCTGATGCACTGATTTGATAATGTATCTGTAAGATTGCTGTGTTTTGTTTAACTACAAATTGGTCCTGTCAAATTCTTATAAAAGCTGTGTTACTTAGTCCTTTTAGTGTTCCAGGACTTTGAAAACTAGCAAGTTTTGTTTTTCTAAGTGAAGTAGTCTTCTTGCCAAGTGGACCTTCTGCTTTAGTTGTCCTTTGCAGGTTGTGGGAACATTAGCCCCATAGTCACAGGAAAAAAAATCCTTTCAGCTTCATCTTCATTTTCAACTTCTGCCATTTATATTATTATCTCATCAAGTTCTTTTTCCAGTTTTTCATAAATGTCTATCTTCTCGTGTTGCTCAGAGTTCTGTGCCTGAAGTTCACTAATGCATTTTTCATAAGAGGCTTGGAGACTATAAAATTATTTAGTTAAAACCTCAAATATTTTCTGATATTTTTCACATTCCAATTGATGCTATGTGAGATTTCTTGCAATTTCTTCTTGTAGAAGTTGAACATGCTCACAATCTAAAGATTTTGATTTAGTTTGATGTAGTTCTCTGTATCTGTTTAAGAGCTGATCATGTTTTTCTAAAGCATCCTTTTCAGCTCTCAGTTCTCACGGCTCAGTCCTTTTCAACCACTGTGCTATCTCCTGCTTCTTAGAGATTTCTGTTTTCCCGTTCATCCAATTCCCTAGAGGCACTTAGAAGCTGATCAATCTCCTGATTACTTTTCAATCTGATTTATTCCAGTTCATCACATAGTTTATTTTCATATTCTGTTTTATAATGGTCCTGGATGTTACATATTTTTCATACATCTCTTCTCTAGAATATCTTTCAAGGCAATCTTCTTCATGCGCACAACAAACACTAAGTTCCATATTTTGGTGATTTAGATATGCTTTATCTTTTTGCAATAAAGTCTGCTGTAAGTGGCTACATCTTTTGATAATTCATTTATTTAACTTGAGTTTTTGAGAGGCTTTAAGTATTTCATGTTTTCTACTAACTCAGTGACTTCCTGTTCAAGTGCATCATGCTCACTCTTGACTTTATCATAATTCTCTTGACAATAGCCACCTCACTGAATAAATTGCTTTGTGTGTGGTAATCCTAAAACCAAACACTGACATCTATTTGGAAGCTCAAAGCAGTTTGTTCACTTTTCGTCATTTGTCTCTGCCACGTACTTCAGTTGGCCTTTGTTTGCACTTAATTCTTCTGTAGGTCATTCTTTTTTACTCGTAGTTCACAGATTTCTTTTCTTAATTGATTCACTAGTTCATAGAACTGAAAAGATATATATTCAAGAATGGAAAGCTGATCTTTGGAGAAATATTTTAGTTTGATATACTACTCTTCTGCCAACTCAAAGTCACACAGATTTTGATATGAGGATTCCAGCCTTCTCTCTTAGCTGAATATTTGTCTCTTCTAGTTGGTTCTGTTTAAATAGAATAGTTTCCATTTCTTGTTTAAATGGTTATTGATATTTTCTGGCATCTTCTACTAGGCAATTGTTTGCCTAACCTCAACATTAGCAGCTGCTTCTGGTGAAGTGCATCATTAAGTTTCTTTTCCAATTCTTCAACCTGGAAAGTTTCAATGACTCCAATCACTGGACAAATTGCCACCACCCACCATCACTTCAAGGAAGTGCAACCATTTCCAGTTTGCAGTTCAGGTTGCATCTCATCAGCTGGGGCTCTCAGAACTGGGAACGATTAGGACCCATAACCAAGACAACCATCCCCACACCAGGGGAAGATGGAATGCTCATTTACTGTTGGAACTTTCTAATACACTCTGGCCAGATCTATCTTTATTACCCAATGACAACGATGCTTGGAATCACATGGTTTCAACTCTGCTGAAACTTATACACTATGGATAACCCTGCTGGTATTTGACAACAAGCATGCACTGTTCTTTTTGTTGCTCCCAGTGTTTTTATAGTCACTGATTTTGTCAAATTTTTTGGTAGTTTAATTACAAAATTGTGGTAAGTAGAATTTATGAATCTATATCAAGAACTTTTTTGAGAATGAAGTAGTAATTAAAGGAAAAGAAGAAGAAAAAAAAAAAAAAAAGGTGTGGGCTCAGTTACTATAATGTTGTAATTTGATATAGAAAGATTTTATAAAACAATTTGTTTAGTATTCATATAATGTAAGAAATATTACCTTTAAGCAATTTATAATTATATTTATCACAGATTATTCTATGATTAAAATTGATAATAAATATTACTAAAGATTCTACATCATCTGGTATGTGAGGAGTCCATGGGGAGGCTTGACACCATGAATTACCACACTGAATGGCACCAACCCTAGTGATGCCACTGTCCCCTAGCCTGCAGATGATTATGTTGAGAAGAGAATGCTCAGATGCAATGGTTTGCATATTGGCCGCATGTAGGTATTACTGGGGAGCTTTTAAAAAATATTGATGTCTAGGCCCCACCTGTAGAGATTCTAATTTAAATAAATCTATGGTGAAGCTCAGATCACATGATTCTAATTAAGAACTATGGCACTAAAAGCTAATGTTGTTGTTGTTGTTATTTGCCATGGTGTCGACCCCGACTCATAGCGACCCCTCCTTGGGTTTCCGAGGCAGTATCACTACGGAAGTAGGATTGCCCAACTTTCCTTCCGAGGAGTGGCTGGTGGGTTTGAATTGCCAGCTTTCTGGTTAGCAGGCAAGTGTCTTAGGCACTATGCTACCAGAGCTCCTAAACAGGGGCAGTTAAAGGTAGAGGAACTAGCAAGATTGGTGCAGGGCAACCTGCATTCATATATTGTTATTGTTGCTGTAAACTTTGACTCAAAGAGACCTTATGAACAGCAGAATGAAATACTGCCTGATCCTGCATACCTTTACAATCATTAACAAGTTTGAGTACATTGTTCTGACTACTGTGCTATTCTATCTCACCAAGGCTCTTTCTTGCTCTTGCTGACCCTCTATTTCACCAAACATGATATCTTCCTCTACTGATTGATGTTTTTTGATGATGTATCCAAAATAAATGAATCAGACAGTGCTCTGCCATGATCCATATGATTTTCATTAGGAGCTCTGGTAGCATAGTGCCTAAGGCACTTGACTGCTAGCCAGAAGGCTGGTGGTTCAAACCCTCCAGCCACTCCTCGGAAGGAAGATGGGGCATTCTACTTCCGTAGTGATACTGCCTTGGAAACCCAAGGAGGGGTTGCTGAGTCGGGTCTGACTCGATGGCACATAACAACAACAACAACAATATTTTGGAAGTTGTTCTGGTTACCTAGTACTGCTCTGACAAGAATACACGACAAAAGGGATGGCCTTAACAAACAGGAGTTTATTCTTACAATTTGGAGGCTTTAAGTCCAAGTTCAAAGTGCCAGGCTCTAGGGGCTGGGTGAAAGCCCCTCAGCCTTGGGCTTCAACTCTGCCTCCAACTCCCGGTCCACTGAAGCTAGAGGCTTTTCTTCACTCAGACAGCTGCTGGCTGCTGAGGCTGAGAAGCCCAAGGTTGACAAATAGAATGGCACAGTCCCAATGTTACCAAACCACACAGCAGGCCATTAATTTAAGTCCATTGTAAGTCCCAAGGTCTGCAGAGCATGGCAGGCAGCTGAACAACGACACGGCTATATGCAGGGTCCAAGCATGTCATAGGCTAGAGACCATTCCCAAAGCTGTTTCTTATATATGGGAAGCAGACCACATCCCAAAGGCAGCTACTCAGCTGCTTGTGGTAGATCCCACCAAGGAGTTTTCCAGTCTCATCATAGGGAATAACTACCACTCAACCATGCCCAGGCAAGTTGACATGCAAACATAACTACCACAGAAGTAGATCGCCAAGTTTTCCTTCCTAATCTGTCTGAGTCTAGAAGGTCTGGTGAAACCTATGTACTACAGATAACCCTGCTGGTACTTGAACTACCAATGGTATAGCTTCCAGAATCATAATAATACAAGCCACCTCAGCATGAGAAACTGACAGATAAGGGGTGGATTTTGTGTATAGAACAGTTCATTTCACAGGGAAGAAAATTGAAGTCAGAATGTAAGCAATTTGTGCAAGATCACAGAGCCTGTAGGAGCTCTGGTAGCACAGTGCCTAAGGCACTTGACTGCTAACCAGAAGACTGGCAGTTCAAACCCACCAGCCACTTCTTGGAGGGAAGGTTGGTCAATCTACTTCCATAGTGATACTGCCTCAGAAACCCAAGGAGGGGTCACTATGAATTGGGGCCAACTCAACAGCACATAACAATAACAGCAGGGCCTGTAAGTAGCAGGGCTTGCATATGTCTGACTCTAGAACCTATTCCCCAGACCTCAGTTACCTGTGTATCACCTTTACAATTTTTGTCATATCCATGTGCCATCTGTACATTACTGCCTTAATGTTTTTCTTTAGGTCAACTCACTTCTTAGGCTTTAACATCCATAATTTTAAAAGAAATTTTTCTCATACATTTCATGCTAACTACATATATTTTCTAAAACACATTGAAATAAACATGCATAAAGAAGAGACATCCACTTATGAACTGTGACCAATCACTTCAAGAAGTAGTGGTGGCACACTTTGGGAGGCTCAGTCAGTCTCAAGGTCTTTGACTTTGGGGTATGGATTCTTGGGAGTGTGGGAGCTCTGGTGGCATAGGGCCTAAGGCATTTGACTGCTAACCAGAAGGCTGGTGGTTCAAACCCACTGGCCACTCCTCAGAAAGAAGATTGGGCAGTCTACTTCCGTAGTGATACAACCTCGGAAATTCAAGGAGGGGTCACTATAAGTCAGATCCAACTAGATGGCAGTGAGTTTTTTTTTTTTTTTTTTTTTTTTAAGGATGCTTCTGCTCTACATTCATATTTCAGCCCCTGGAAGGCTGCCACTTCTCTGCATGGTGCTAAGGCTCAATACTGCTAACAGAAGGAAAAGGAAGGGGTGGACAAGCACTTACTTACTTCCTCCTGGGGTTAAAGTTGAATCACCTGTGATCCCTCTCCATACCACCAGCCCCAAGGTGCAGTTCTCTTGGCTGCCATAGGCACAACTGGGACCTCTCAACAGAAGCTCCAAAGGAAGATTGGATCCAATAACTGTGTGCCGGGCAGGGCTCCCTTTGGCACTGCTCTTGCCTATCTTAGCATGAGTGTGCATTAAATGGTTACCTAACAGGGTTTACCATATTGAGCCTTGCATAGGACATCAGTAACCCCCACCCCCCAGACAACCCTGATTCTGAGAACTAATGTGATAAAGGATTTTGCACTGGGTATAGGGTACAATGAGGTGGCTGAGTAGACATTTGGGGGAATTGGCCCAAAACCTCTGTTCTCTGTGTCACCTGTTCAGCCATTTTTTACTAATGGCAGAAGTTATCTCATTCTCTCTGGCTTCCTCATCTGTAAGATGGGGATGATAAATAGAACCAACACATAGAGTAACCATGTCAATTCAGGGAGTGGGTAATGGAAGACACACAGCCTGGATAAGTGTTGCAGATGGTAGCACCCCTGTCATTTGGTGCTGGAATGCTCTGGTCACATTCGACTTCCACCTTGGCTGTCCCTGATTAGGGCATAATGGAAGCAATTATCCTTCACATCTCAAAACTACTTGTGCTTCCAGCAATCCAGGGAATGAGAAAGTCTGTGTCCCCACTCACCCTGAGGTGTCACTGACCTAACCTCTCTCCCCACCTACAGAGAAGAAAACTGATGGAGCAAGAGTTGATAGAATTGTAGACATTCTGGGGTCTTATACATACGTCTTAAGTCAAAAAACCTTGGCTTCCCTAGGAGTCTTTCCCAGGGCCTAGGTCTACCCTACATCCTTAAAGGCAGACCTCTGAGGCCTTGGATGGAATAGCTGCCAGGTCTTGAAGGAACTTTTCACCCATGGTGGCTATTGACCAAAATACAGTAACATCTGCAAGTGGAGTAGCATGGGTGTTGGCCTTCGGATGCTCTCTGAGGCCAGGTTCCTATTTGCTGTTCCAGAGTACGATGTGGCACATGATCCATGTGCCTGCATCTGATCAGCACAGGTCAGGTTACAGCCCTCAGTGACTATCCTCTCATTACAGGAGACCTGACCTTCCAGTGCCACTACTATACTCACTACTCCTCTGCCATCATTGTTGCCTCCTACCTGGTCCGGATGCCACCCTTCACCCAGGCCTTCTGTTCTCTGCAGGTGAGCACACCCATTTGCTCCAGGTGTATTCTGTGGACCATGATACAGGCTTGGACAAGGATACCTCCCTGCTAGAAAGTCCTTAGGATGATGGGTTGCCAAGTGAGGCAGGCTGTTCTTTTCAGTTACACCTACACATTTGCCAACACAATCTTGTAAAAGAACTCCAATATAAGGAATAAAAGATTTGAAAACAAAAGTATTTAGCATACATATATTTTAGTGGAAAAGGAAAAGCAGGAAACAAAGACTGCAAAGGTGAGTGGTCAAAGATTAGAAAAACAAATATAAAAAGGAACAATGAAAAAAATATGACTCAAGACAACAGAATGCACTCACTAAAGCTATGCAAACAGAAAGACTTAAAAAGACAAACATAATGTTTGAAGACTAGAACAAACAACTAAGCCAAAGAAAGAAGCTGACCCATTTATCCACCCATAAACTAACAGACCATCATACCCCTTAGGGTTGCCAGATTTATTGTATAAAAATATAAGATGCCCAGATGAATATAAATTTCAAATGAACATTGACTTTCCAATAAACAATGACTTATACTAAAAATTAAGGAGCTCTGATGGTGCAATGGTTAAAGGCATTTGGCTGCTAACCAAAAGCTTGGTGATTTGAACCCACCAGCTGCTCCATGGAAGAAAGATGAGACAGTCTGCTTCCATAAAGATATACAGCCTTGAAAACCCTATGAAGGTTGCTGTGAGTCAGAATTGACTCAATGACAGTGAGATTTGTTTGGTTTTGGTGTACTAAAAATTATTGGTTGTCTATCTGAAATTCAAGTTTAACTGGGTCTCCTGTATTTGATCTGTCAATCCTACACCAGCTGTTTGTGAGTCAGTGCTGATTCCAGAGGGGGTGGGGTTGTCCAAAGCAGGGGGACATTCCTGGAACAAAATTCCTCATGGGCAGTGTCATCAGGACACCGAGTAGCAAGAGACCCCCAACTTCTTATCCTTCCGCTCCTATTTGAAAGGTCAAGTTCTTGTTTGTTGTTGTTGTTGTTGTTCTTAAGTTCAAGTTCTTTTGCTCTCTTCCTTTCCAACCCCATCATCCACTGGGATCTTGCTTCCAAGGTAGCCATTAGTCCAGGGGTAGAGCTTTGGTGGGGAGAGACTTCGGTAGCTCAGTGCGTTGGCTAACTCAGCCAGCTATAAAGTAAATAGACCACACAGCCCAAGTTTGTGGTCTGGCCTTACAATGATCCTATGGAAAGGAAGGCATTTACTCGCCTAGGAGTGGGTAATAGGACAAGGCAGGGGTATCTATGTGTGGCAGCCTCAAGAAGAAGCCCAGACTTTCTCTAACAGCTAAGCTTCATTAGAGAAAAGAATGAGGGTTGCAGGAACTGTGTTTTGGTCTGACCTCACCAGCTAGGTCGTTCTTTTTGATTACTCAGAGAACCTTGACCTTCAGAACAAAGACCACCCTGGGTCAGCACTATAGCCTACTACTGGGTGCTGGGCAGGAATGGGTAGGCAGAGCAAGGCAGAAAAACTCTCTCCTGTCTTCTGTTTCTTGGCATAGTGTTCTTTGTACTTGACAGCATGCATCGTCTAGACATTGTATAACCCCTTCTCACTGGAAATTCACTCAAAAATAATAAGTGTGCTTCCCCTGAGTCTTTCTCAGGCAACAAACATTTTAAGTAAGTTTGGTTTGGAGAAGAAGTGGTCTCAGAGCTTCATCCCATGCCAGGAATCCTATCCAGATGTTGCTCATAAATCCACAAGAAATGATCATCACCATTGATGATGATAGTGATGGATTCCATTGCTGTTTTCCACTCAGGGACTTCTGGATGCTTTAAAAAATTCCTCTTGCCCCTTAGGTCTAATGCATTAAAGCTGGAAATTGCAGCTTTACCTGTTGCTAAGGGTCTGCTTCCATTGAGAAGAGATAGAATGTTGGCAATGAGATTCACATCCTAGTTCTGTCACTTAATAGATAGAAAATCTTCTGGAAGTTATTTTACCTTTGGAAATGAGAATTAATTATACACATCTCATTGGGCTGTTGAGAAGCTTGAGATAATGTAGGGAAAGCCCCCATCTTAGGGCTTGACACTATGAGGTAATTCGTCACTGTTATCACTCTTAGTTCCCTTCCTCCCTCTGCAGCTGGTCAGATTTAATCTGAGTGGGAAAACTGGTTCAAGCTGTTCTCCTTTGGCTGGAGCCAACTCAAGACAGTCTGGACTTTCCAAGTAAATTTGAGCCAGACTAAACAGGTGTGCTGTGAATTTTCTAGGAGATTTGTGTTAAGGTCACTTTTAAGTGAGTCACAACTAGTTTGGGCAAATTTGGTTCATTTGTGATGAGACCAAACTAGTTTGAGAAGGTCTAAACCAGGGTGAATGAGCCCTGGTGGTGCAATGGTTAAATACACCACTTCTAAATGAATGGCTGGTGGTTCAAACCCACCCAGTGTCTTATACTAAAAAAAGTTATTGATCATCTATCTAAGATTCATGTTTAACTGGGACTCCTGTATTTTATCTGGAAATTCTAATCCAGATCATCTTCCATGAAAATTATAGCCCAGAAAACCCCATGCAGCAATTCACTCTGTCACATGAAGTTACATGAGTCAAAATCAACTCAACAGCACCAAACAACATCAAACCAAGGGTAGATGATCAGAGCCAATATTAGGTGCCTTTAAGTAGCTCATAGCCAGCTATTAGGCTCAACATTTTGACTCTGGGTTTCAGTCTTTGATGTGATTCCCTGAGTTTTTAGGGTTCAAATCTATCTGTAGCCTCTCTGGGCTTCTCAGGGTTGAAAGCATTTGGACTCTCCATATCTGCTTCTGGATTGTTTCTACCTGTCCACTCTTTAGTGTGAGCTGGTTTGGCTCTTTTTGGACAAGTTTTAACTGACTTTTCTAAGCAAAACAAAACAAAAAACAAGTAAGCCCATTGCCATCAAGTCAATTCTGACTCATAGCGATAGCGACCCTATAGGACAGAGTAGAACTGCCACATAGGGTTTCCAAGGCTGTAGTCTTTATGGTAGGAAGCATAGCTCTCCTGGGGATCAGTGGGTGAGTTCAAAACACTGATATTCTGGTTAACAGCCAAGCACTTAACCACTGTGCCACCAGACTCTGGACTCTTCTCCAAAAACCAAAAAAACAAACTCACTGCCATTTAGTTGGATCTGACTCATAGTGACCCCTCCTTGGGTTTCTGAGGCAGTATCACTACAGAAGTAGATTGCCCAATCTTGTCTCTTCTAACGTGTCATAATTGGTCTAAGTCTTTGAAACCAGCTTTTTCCATAGAACAAAAGAGAAATTTTAGTTCTCAGTGGAAAAAGTACAAAGGAAGGCTAGAGTACAAACTTTCTGCTCCTTTGGGAGTTCTGGGGCCTTGGCAGACAGCCTTAGGTGGTTCTGACCACTTCTTGAGGTCAGGTTCCTCTCACTACCCTCTGATTTCTAGAGGGCAGCCCATTCCTCACTAAAGGGCTTTACTTTGCCCCTGTGTGATGACAAGGAGATAACCTCCCTAGGTTCACAACAACTGGAGGGTTGGGGAGGAGCACGAAAGGAGGGAAAAAGTAAAAAAAAAAAAAACACTCCCATTAAGTCAATTCTGACCTATAGCGACCCTCATTGCGTTTTCAAGGCTGTAAATCTTTACAGATCTATTTGGCTCATCTTTCTCCCTTCATGAGTTTGAACCACTGACCTTCTGGTTAGCAGCCAAATGCTTTACCCACTATGCCACCAGAACTCCTTAAGAAAGGGGAGGAGGGTACAAAATCAGTGCAGTGAGGCCTTCTTCATTTATCTGAACAGCAGGGAAGTAAGAATGTGGGTTATTTCCAGAGCCAATTATTAATGGAAGTCAACATAAAGAAAGTACATGTTTTTCCACTGTACATTAATAAAACTGCCTCTTGCCTATTAGCATGAATAATCCAGAATTAAGATTTGGATTAAGGCCTGAGAATCAGGGATAGCGTCCTATCTCTACTATGTCTGACTATTTCATCTCTGAGACTTTCATCTCTGAGACTCAGTTTCCTTCTCATGATATAGAGGAAGGAGTGAGAAGATAAACTCCAAAGGCTTTACTTAATGACACCAAACTCTAACCCTCATTCAGTAACTATTGTGTGCCTGGCTTGAGCTAAGTCCCTTACTTGTATTATTGCTTTGTTTAGCCTTCACAATTCACAAGAGGGTCCTAGGATTAGTCTTCTCTTTCCTGAGCATGCAAGAGACTACGTCCAAGCTGAGTTCCCAAAAGAAATACACAAAAGAGATGGGATGGTGACACAGAACCTAAACCACTTCCAGTAAATAAAGAGGTCAGGTCTACAGAGGTTGTCCAGATGGAGCAGAGTGCTTGGGGAAGATGGATACCTGTCACTTTCAAGGTCATGTTATCAGTACAACAGTACAGAGTCCCTTGTGCAATGTCACATACAGGTTATGTAATATGGAGGTATCACTGGTACATCCAAGGTGGAGTGGTGTGTCCACTTGAAAGCCTAGCTGTGGAGCATTCTCGCCATCCAACATTGTATGTCTGTCTAATGCAAATCCGACACTCAATTAGGCAGCAGGGACTGAGCTCTTTTAGCACTGTGGCCTGCTACCATGCAGTGTGAGGAGTTGTGTGGCTGACACCAGGTGCTCCCCACACAACCTAAGGACTGCTGTGTGCAGAAGTAAATTGCTGAAGTGTTGTTGTTGTTGTTAAGTGCTGTCGAGTCATTTCCAACTCATAGTGACCCCATGCACAGCAGAACGAAACACTGCCCGATCCCGCGCCAGCCCCACAATCCCTGCTATACTTGAGCCCATCATTGCAGCCA